CAGTGTACTCGTAGAATGGATAGGAGCGACACTGATGGCACCTATCACCCCTTGGTAAGCTTGGTGTCCAAGTTGATCACCATTGCCGGTGCTAGGTACGTTAAAAAGCTGGCGCCTGATATGGGTCAAGGGACTGCAGCATCGGTGCTTATGTCCTCTTACAATATAGGAATGTTCGTTACATCTCTGTTCACCGGGCCTCTATCTGATAGGTAGTAATGCGAATAGGAGGCCAGGACATTATGGAGTTCTCATTCGTTAGAGTGGGTCGTCGTCCTCTCTTCCTTATCGCCCTCCTTCTCTATACTGGAGCTCAGTTTGCTGATGCCAACGCTTGGGATCTGGCAAGTTTGGCTGGCTTCAGAGCTCTTGAAGGAGTCCTGGCTGGTAATACAGTAATAGTCCTCCTCATCTTCAGATAATATTGACTCAGGTACTCGTCCTGTAATCGTAGCGTACCTTACTGACGTTAGTGACAATGATGATATGAAGCTCTACGGTGTCATCATGGGTATCTTCGTTGTCGTCGGACAGCTCCTCGGTCCTGTCATAGGTAAGGTTTTTGGACTACCATCTTTTCGCTTCAACGTGCTTCTCCTTAGGGGGAGCTCTGATGCAGTTCTCGATGTGGCTCCCCTTTTACTTTATGGGTATCTTGGCCGCCGTCCTCCTCTTGCTTGAGTTCTTCTTCCTCCGAGAATCCCTTGTGAAGGATGAGAGTGGGAAGCTGGTTTCCAGAGTGAAGAAGGTTGAAGAGGAGAATGTGGAGTACCCCAAAAACAAATGGCTTATCCCGACTGTCATCTGCCTCGGGATCGCCGCCTTCTGCAGACAGTAAGAATCATATCCGTTGCCCCGTCGTATATGTACCCACGTTCGAGATACGTCTATCTAACATGGAATACCGTTTTCGGTTTATTGGGAGCTGACCGCTTCCACCTCTCCTCGTCCAGCAATGGTGTGGTGATGGGCGTGCAAGCTGCTGTGGCGATCGTGGCCAACATTATCTACGTCCCTCTCACACGTACATGGCATGCTGTCACTATACTTGTGCTGTATGCAGCTTTGCTTTAGGTTACTTGGTCCCTGCCCGTAT